GAAGAATCTTCCAGCTAAGAAGCAGCCGGTCTCAACCAAATTACTAACCGATGGGCTTCAAAATGAGAAACCTGATACAACTTCAACTAAGGTAATTCTGTTATTATTCTATAATCTTACTCTGTCTTGAAACCATATTATGCTTTTGCAGTTCTAAACAGCTGTGCAAACTAAAATCTTATTATAATTTTATTTCTCTTAGCATCCAACTACCACCCAGCCTCAATTAATTGAGGGAGAAGGAAACACAGTTGTATCAGAACCTAGTAGTAGCTTGGCTGAGGAATTAAGTCATCTTCCTACCCATGAGCCGGAGCAAGCACAACCTTCTTTTGAGGTGATTTGATTAATAAAATGGCCACAGTCATTCTGAGAGATACCTCTCCAGGCCATTCTTCAGAAGTTGAGGTATCTATTTTACTTGTAATCTTTGGAAATGTCATAAAACTTGAAATTCATTTTCATATCATTTTCATATATTTTATTTTAGGTTATGCGCTCTGTTTTAAGAAAGTCAGGTACTGGGAGATACTTATTAGCTCTCTCTAAATGCCCTTCTCCTCTCAGTGATAGTGACCAAAACAAATTAGCCCAACTCATAATAGACAATGAAACTGTCCAAAATGATAAGTAGGTTTTACTGAATTAAAAATACTTGAAGTTGATTCTTATAGATGAGTTGTTTAATGTGTTTCATGTATTTTCTGTTCAGGCATAAGATAACGGCCACCGACTTTGAGGAAATAGTAAAAATTATTCTCAATATTTTTCCTAAGGAGAGTGCTGTAAGTTTAAGCCTCAGTTTCAATGGGATGGATATCAACTCTAGTACATTTGGATAGAGAAACAAGAGCAGCATTACAAGCTAACTATCATTGCTAGTGATAATGGTCATCCTAAGCATTCTACTCGATCTATTGTTCATATTCAAGTCCAGGACTACAATGACAACCCTCCTGCCTTCTCAAACAATAATTACAAGGCATCTGGTATGTTTCTTCTACAACTCTACAATCTTATTTTTACATTTATTCTAGTATGTAAAGTAATAAAATTTCATCTTTTTTTTTTCCAGTTAACGAAGATGCGCTTCCTGGCACAGTAATTATTCAGCTAGCCACATCAGATGCAGATTCTGTGAAGATGCCTGTAGATTTGTAAATTGTGTCCGGTGATCCTGCCTCACAGTTATCAGTACGCTCCACTGGAGAAGTGTATGTCGTGCGCCCTTTGGACAGAGAAACTGTTCCTCATTACAATCTGCAAATAGTAGCAACAGATGGCAAGTTTGTGTCAACATCAAATGTTTCCATTGAAATTTTAGATGCCAATGGTAAGTTATTTCATTCCCTTTCCTTTCTATTAATGAAGTTGTATGAGTATGAATTAATTCTAAATGTTTAAAATGGTGGTTACCTTTGTGATAGATAATCCCCCATACTGTTTACGCCATCGTTATCGCTCTGTTGTGGCTGAGGATGTAGATACTGGGACATTTTTGTTGAGTGTTAGAGCATCAGATGTTGATGAAGGATCTCATGAAAATTTCCGTTTCTACTTGACTGGTACAGGAGCTGAACACTTTTCCCTTGACAAAGCTGGAGGTATGTGAAGAAATAAGTATATCATTATAAGTTTTCGCATTGCATACAAATGTTTTTGGCTTATCATAGCTAAAACTTTTTTTTTTTTTACCATCAGGTCACCTTAGAACTGCGCATATTCTTGATCGGGAGACTCAAAGCAAATACTTGTTGACTGCACATGTTCAAGACAGAGATGGGACAACACAAGGATGGGAATGCAGTTCTCAAGTTGAAATCCTTATAGCCGATGTTAATGACAATGCTCCTCAATTCACTCTGGTCTCTTATACAGCTTCACTATCAGAAGATGCTCAAGTTG